TCAGATCATGTGTTTCCCTTTGCCCTAGCACAACCGTGGTCATGCAGCAGTACACCTCTAGGTGCTCATTTGAAGTAGAGTTTTAAGCATTTTAAAATTATTTCTGATCCCTAGAGTACTTTTGTCTGCTGCAGGACTGATTGCTCGATCTGTTCAATCAAGGAACACAGCTAAAAATACAACTGCTTTCCAACATGTACATGCTTCCGCTTTCCTGGTCTCCACTGCATTATGATATAGGTCAAGCAGTAATATGCCTGCTTATTTTGGTGTCTAGGTGTCCTCCCTTCCCATGGAATCTATAGATTTGCAGTGACAGACACAAAATTGAGTTCTTAATATGCCAGCAGCAAAGCCTTCCCAAATCACTCTGCCAGCTAAAGCTTGGGTCTGTCTTTATCTTGGTTCTTTCACACACTTACTCTCAACCCAGTCCTACCACAAAAGTCTGGAGAAATAGTTAAGCCTCACAGCAAGCCTCAGAATAAGCACGCTCACTCTGTTAGTCCCAGAAGGAGGAAGAAGCTATTTTCCAGTTAACTGACTGCTTGTTTACATGTCACCGCTTATCTTAGAGGCAGGTTACTGGTGTACAGTGAGATAAAAAAATAAAGACCCAAAGGTTTCATCACACGTGAAGCTCATGCTCTTGCCTGCTCAATTGCACTTACAAGCTGCTTGGTTGCAGGCACAAAATGTGTCTTATTTAAGGAAAAGGAAACTGTGAAGACCATCAGGTCTTTCATTAGAAAAACAGACTTGTTTCTCATGGCTCCAACCATTTTGTGCATGGCTTAAAATCCAAGAGCTTGGGCTGGGCTGCATCTCCTTAATTCTCTAGTCCCCATCCCCAGCACAGACCACAAAATGACAGATCAAATGTTCTCCACATTAAATCTTTATTAGTTTTCTCAAGACAAAAAGCAAAGAATTATTGTAATCAGACCACTGAGGTGCTTTCTCTGTACTAACAGTTCTAAATGACATCTAGATGAGTAAAAGATTTTTACACTGAATATGAGACATAAGAATAAGCTGATCCCTATGTGCAATAAAACAAGCTTCTGTATTTTTCCTATGAACTATAGAAGCCATGGCCTATGTTAAAGTTGTCTGGTATCTATTTTAAGAGTCTGATTCTTTTGTTCAGCTGCTTATTACCTTGATTCCTAATTACTCTTAATTTTTTTGCCAGAATTCTCTGTGTGAGATAAAGCACCTCAGAACTGCCAGAAAACCTTGGCTGAAGCTGCTCTGTCATTTCCCACCACAAGACTAGTGTCTTGTGAATGCTTATGCTCTAGCATATGTTTCTAAGGGAGGCCTTCATATTTCTATGTTTTTATGAGTCTAGGAAATATTTGTTAAGTCAAAGCAAAACCTAGTCTGTGCTGCTCTCTCTGCTGCTGTGGATGTCCTGGCTGGCCTAGGTAACTCCACATGGTGGTTTCCACAGAGAGTGTGGAAGTATTTCATATCTGTCATGCTGCTTTGGGCCAGCACCAGAAGAGGGAAGGGAGCATGTCCTCGCCACCCTGCACCTGCTGACTGCGCTAGCACTGAGGTAGCACAGAGCAATGAGAACCAGGGAACGTATTTGCACAAAGGAGAATCTGGGGAGTAGATCCTGGAAATGAAATGAAATGAAATGAAATGAAATGAAATGAAATGAAATGAAATGAAATGAAATGAAAGAGTCGGGAATTGGATCAAGACGTGCGAGCAGGGCTGTCTGTGCCCGCTGGCCTAGCTTGGCCATGTCCCGTGGGCCAAGGTTCCCCCTGGGGCTTCTGGCAACGCCCAGGAGAGCCATGGGCACCTGCCCGTTGCTCCTGAGAACAGCTGAACTGCGTGAACTGCTCCTGAGAACTGCTGAACTGCGTAATGGCACTAACGCACACACAATAACTTCTGTGGATGTGGAGACTCCCACCGCTCCCAGTGCCCGCAGTGCAGCACGTAGATGAGCGAACTACTCCCTTCATTTGTTTTTTTTCCAAAGTCATACCAAGCAATCGCACAGAAGGTGTAAGAGGGCACTTCCCCTGCAAGCGAGGAGAGAGTGCTTACAGGACGGGGATACGGAGCCAGCCTGGCCCTCCGAGGGCTATGCGATAGACCCTGGCGCCTGCAGGGAGCTTTCCCTGTTGTCAATGTGGGGGCTGTGCTGGCCTGCATGAGCGAAATTCAGACATCAGCTTCATCCAGCTGAGTTTCTGCTAGTGACGTTGACACATTAAAAAGTTTGATTTGACTTCTGCCTCCTAAGCTTGAGGGAAAAAAGCATCTTCTCCTCAAAATCAGGATAACAAGAGATGGAAACGCAGGTTATTTTCCTTCATACATGCATATATGTGTATGCATATACATATATATGCTTTTCAGAGTATAGTTATTTAGAAATAATGTTTCTTTTAAAAGAAACATAATAAAAGTCCCAGTCAGGTTAGATTTGGAGAACTAGAGGAAATGAATGTGTTCACCTTACTGAAAATGAGAAGACAAAACCACAGAATCACACAGAATCAAAGAATCACAGAATGGTTAAGGTTGGAAGGGACCTCTGGAGATCATCTAGTCCAACCCCCCTGCTCAAGCAAGGAGACACTAGATGTGACACACAGTAACATCAAGGCGGATTTTGAAGATCTCCAGAGAAGCAGACTCCACAACCTCTATGGACAGCCTGTTCCAGGGCTCTGTCACCCTCACAGTGAAGTTCTTCCTCACATGGAGGTGGAACTTTCAATTTGCAGCCATTACTGCGTATGCAGGGGGGTTGGACTAGATGACCTCTAGAGATCCCTTCCAACCTTAAGCATTCTATGATTCTATGATTACCCCTTGTCCTGTCACTGCCCACCATGGAGAAGAGCTTGGCCTCATCATCCACCCCTAAGGTACTTGTAGATGTTGATCAGATCTCCTCTCAGTCTTCTCTTCTCCAGGCTAACAGGCTCAGCTTGCTTAGTCTTTCCTCAGACAGGATGCTCCAGTCCCTTAATCATTTTCGTGGTCCTACGCTGGACCCTCTCTAGAAGCTAAATGTCCTTCTTGTACTGGGGAGTCCAGAACTGCACCCAGTACTCCAGGTGCAGCCTCACCATTGCTGAGGAGAGGGGCAGGACCCCCTCCCTCGACCTGCTGGCAGGACTCCTCCTGATGAAATCCAGGATCCCATTGGCCTCCTTGGCCACAGTGGCACATTGGTGACTCATGGTTAATTTGTTGTCAACCAGGACTCCCAAATCCCTCTACGAAGGGATCAGACAAATCCACACTGTGTTTATGGGGCAGGACAAAACTCATTGCTGTTTCTGTGACTCAAACCTGCCCTAAAGCTGCCCTGTGTTTTTCCGAAGAGAGGTGGGACCTAGGCTGGTGGCCATGAGACAAATGGATGGTGGCCATGGTATGTCAGGCTGCTGCTAGGCCGCTGCCATGGATTTTAGCTAATCTCCTGCTTACCCAGCACTCCTCATCTTTGGCTTTGAGTGCTGCTGCACTCCCTGACTTCATCCACGCACAATTTGCTGCCAGGATGAAGCAGTCCCTCTTCCAGAGCCCCTCTGAGACAGAGGCCAAGGCAGTTCCTAACGGAAGGGCCCATTAGCTCCCCTGCTACCTACACGCCAGCACAACTTCTGCCTAAAAGCAGCTCAGATTTTAAAGCCCTGGGCCTGCGAACAGTCAGGCAGGCAGACTAAGCTGTGCATATTGTCTTGGTGATACTCACTAGGGAGGTTAAGCCGCCAGTATCACCTGGAGATGGATTCAGCAACGAATGGAAATGTTTTCCGCTTTTAAGTCCTACAAGGAATGCATCGAATGCTGAAACATAAACAAACAAACTTCATTTTCTAGCACAGGAGGGTAACAAACTCCAAAACCCTGTCCAGCCTCAAAGTCAAATAGAAATCTTATCTTACCTCCGCTAAACAGTATATAAAAGCACGTGCTTTATTGTACAGGTTCTCTCACCCTTCCTCCCAGGGTATCCAGTTAATGTTTGGCGAATGTCTAGTTCCTTTCCCAAATGAAATATTTGTTTTTAAGAAACAGATATATGCATATATATATTAATAAATATAGATTTTTATGTACACACATAGAGTTTGTGCAAGAATGTGAGCACATGCACCTTATGACATATAAAGTAAGATATCTTCTCCAGAAATAACAGTTCTGTCCTTCCTGCTAAGTGTAAAAATTTGAAAATTATATGCCAAAAAACTAACTTCTAAGACTAAACTTCTGGGCATTCAGTAAAACCCTCTGCAAATTCTTCACAGAAGTTTATGGGTTGTGTGCAGTCCATGTGATTTTTGTAGGCATTGTATGGAGGAACAATTTACATAGCAGGGTATCACTATTTCTCCTCTACGTCTCTGCAAAACATGTCTTAGCAAATATTAACAAAGAATATCTCAGCTCTGCATTTGCAAGTTTTTTGGTCAGCTTTGAAATAGTCTCAGAACAGCTTTCTTTATCTGTGTATGCTCGAAT